GTTTAGGACAGTCACTCTCTGATGTCGGAGACTGCAAGTTACTCCTGCCCAGTTGCAGAAATGAATAGAAGCATTCCATGAGTTGAAAACCCCAACTGGGTCAGTCCATATTGCTTTCTTGATTTCCAGAAGAGCTTGATAATCTGTCTCATTTGTGACCCTAACAGCACTAGCCATGGGAGTGGGGACAACGTTTAACTGGTTCATGTAGAAGAAAATATAAAAGAGCAGGGCTGAACTTACTCGCCTTAAGACCATACTTTTGCTCTGCATCTTTTCTGTCAGAGCAATTCATGGAGTAAGGAGGAGGGATGGGGTTAGCAATTATGGATAAGGATGGTGTAGCAATCCATCCCCCATGGTCACAAGCACTGTAGTAGTTACTGGTACCGATACGTTGTATCAGCCACCTCCAAAGTCTCAAGCCGTTGTCTTTTTGGCCGACCAAAAAAGTATTATATTTTTTAGGGTAAAATCTCATTTTGGTTTCTAAATTATTGTAAAGATTTTTAATTTAGTCCATAAATTAAAAAAATTCTTGATTTAACTCTTATCATTTACTATTTTTACCCTAAATTGGTCCTTCGTTAAAAATCTCATAATGTGTACTACTAATTTATAGTAAAATAGTAACATGTTAAAATATTATTTTACATGAAAGATAACATGTCAAAAAATAGTGATATGAAAAAAAATAATAATATAATAAAAAACTTAAAAAATTCTTTCTTTTGCTTTTTTTTCTTCACCTTCCTTTTTCTTTCCCCTTAGGGTTTGGAACTCAGAATCAGGTTTGATCAAATCGAACGCCTAGATTCTTCAAAACCCTCTTCCTCAAAAAATAAAAAAATAATTAAAAAAAAATTCTATGTTTTTGTGGGTGTTGTTTGATGATGATGATGAAAAATAGATTGATGAAAAAGAAGAATTGATTGATGAAGAAGGTGAGGAAAGGAAGAGAAAAGAGAAAGGGAAAGATGAAAGAGAAAAAAATTTTTTAATTTTTATTGTGAAATCATTATTTTTTTTTGCTAGCTGGCTTTCCAGATGGATATAAAACATTAGGTTTCTGTTAGTCAATGGACACGTTGATAGATTTTTAACGGAAAGATCAAATTAAAGTAAAATAGTAAATAATAAAGACCAAATCAAAGATTTTTTTAGTTTAGGGACCAAATCAAGAGTTCATACAATAATTTAAGAACCAAAATAAAATTTTAACCTATTTTTTAGGAACGAGTAATAATTTAAAATTCTTTCTAGTTTAATACATGTATTAATATTTATTAATTTATATATTAAATTTTAAGAGTGAATTTTTTTTTAAAATTTAAATTTAAAAATAACAATTTATTAACAAATATATTAAATAAAATGGTGCACTAATAATTGTTCTTTATGAAAATCTGTCTTCCATTCCAGTTACTTCCTTTATAAAACTGCAACATTAATATAGTTTCCCACTTCCGGTATCAGGAACTGTTCCCAGAAATTAATACTCATGAAAAATGCACCCAATGTAGGTAGCTGTAAAAAGTCAATTAAGTTTATTATAAAATGGAAAAAACAGCCCAAACAAATAATTACAATTATGAAATTATAGTGTATCTGTTTCCATCCATATCAGCATCTTCAATCAATGGTATGGGAAAACAAATATTATACTAACATCGCAAATCAAAGGAGAAAAAAAATTTCTTTTGTTCACATTATGATATCTTTCATCCTTATAAATGTTAGTAACTAAGCTCTTTCCGTTTTCCAAACACGTCTAAAAGTTCCAGCAATATCCACCTAAATCAAATAACAACTATGAAGTGGCAAAGCGTTAATGGCAAAATAAACCTTCAACAAATACAGCTATTAACACTAACGAGCTTTAAGCAGACAAATAATGGCAGAAATGTTGGTAGAAAGTTCAACCCATGCATGTGCCACATGGACTTTTCATGTGGTGGATTTTCTTCACCAACCTAACTAGTTGTGGGTTAGGGTTGCTTTGTTGAAATCATGCAAGATTGCATGTTGACCCATTTAATGAGCAAGAAAAATCATGCACCGGTGGTAATGATGCCAAAAAAAATGGAGCATGGGTGGTTGTATTTTTCACGATAAATACACATGCATGCAAAGGCAATGGGAAAGCAAGAGTGAATGCAAGCAAGAGTGGGGGAAAGCAAGAGGAATTGAGTGAGAACTCTTGTAAGAGAAAAGAAAGAGAGAAATTGTGAGAAAATCTTTGTGTAGATTAAAAGAGAATATTAGCGAGAATTTGAGAGTTTCTATACATCAAAACTAAGGTGTTAAGAGTTTATTGAGTGAGAGAGTTTTTAAATTATTATACTCTTTTTTTTAATACTGGATTTATTTTTCTCTTTCATGTGTGGACGTAGACTTGTTGAGAGGTATACAAGTCGAATTACGTTAAATTGTTATCTCAATTTCTTTATTGTTTCTGTTTACGTGGGATTGTGATGTTCGAAATTCCTAACAAGAAGCACAAAAGTAGCATCTATTTCTGACAGGAACAAATGGAGATGTAAAAGAAAGTTGCATCGCTACTGACTAAAGATCATAAACTCAAAAATGAAAACCTCTCATGGTTACTAACAAGCTCAGCTGCTACTTTTCATTTGATTCATAAAGGAAACGGATGTTAAAGATATATTCATGAAGCCAATTATAAACAAAGAGGCATCTACAATAGTTATGATTTGCCGTAGAAACATCAACAACTTAATTACCTTGTATGCCTAAACAAAAATGAAAACTATACAGTTAGTACATCAGTTTCCCAAATAGACATCCTCATTTCCAGCCAGTAGTAAGCGGATCAGAAGGAAGTGAAGCAGGATCAAGTTCCCAGTAGTGTTTCAAATGGTCAGGGACATCACTGAAAAGCTTCCTTGCAGGAATCTGATGCGAAAACAAACAAAGACCATCCTTCTCAAGCCACCTAATAACGTGACATCCAATCTCTTGTCTCTTAAATATTGTCTTGAACCCATCAACTTTCTCAAGGTATGCCATGCTCAGCCCATGAATCTCACTATAAGTAGTTAGAGACAAAGCTACGTGGTAGCAACGTTTATCACCAGCTGAAAGGTTTCTTCCTTCTGTAGCGAATGCAGCTTCATCATAAAGAGCCCAAACAAAACCCCTCTTTGGATAAATCCGATAAAGCTCCTTTGCGGCTCTTTCACACACCATAGAAGGGACTTCGAGGCCTTTTGCCCTTTGGGCTTGCAGTCCGGCCTAGTTCAATTTAGAGGCCTAATAATATAATTAGCCATGTGGCCCAAGTCAATTTTTCACTGTCTCCACTCTCTAAGTCAAAAGACCCAAAACAGATATAGTGATGGCAACGGGCTTGCAGGGAGGAGGGAGTCCACAAACTTCTATGACATCCTTGAGAGAACAATTTTATCGAAAAAAGAAAAGGCAAAACAAAATATTATTAGAAAAAGTTTAAATGTACTCTATAAAAAAAAAATTTATAATTTGTTAAAATTTTATTAAATTATTAATTTTTTATATTTATTGAGAAATTAATTAAAAATTAGTGAAAAATTTATTAAGTAATTTCATATAAAGGAAATTGAAAAAACAAAAATTTAATAGTAGGGAATTGAGTAAAAAAAAATAGAAATGTCACTTTAATCATTCTTTTGTTATTATATACTAAAATATGAAAATCTATAAATAATTTTACAAAGAGAAACTTTATGAAAAAAAATTTTCGCAACAAAAAAAACTATTAAAACTAATAAAAACTTAGAGAGTTAATACTTATTAAGTTAAAATTTTCAATTTTGAGTCAAGATTAAAATTTTAAATTTTTATAATACCCAACAAGGATGTAGATTATTGACAGGAAATTTTTTTCATTTCTTCCAAACTGTATAAATAAGCCATAAAAAACCTGAAAATTACAACTAAAAGTCTAAAACTTATAAAAATGGACAGGAGAAAAGAAAATCCATGCAAAAGTCAAAAAGAAAGAAGCATTTTTTCTCACTGGACGGAATGAATGCCCTCAAGCCCAGTCTGCTGGGTAAATTTCTCGTAAAATCTCTTAGCGAATT